ATTTCAGCAAACTTACAATTGAACTGAGTGTCTTAGAAATACGAACCCAACGACACCAAATTCAACTCAATCCAAGCCCAAACTAGTCCAAACAAAGACCCGAAGCGCATTTGGAAGGTTCAATCCATAATTTGGATTACCAAATAGTTACCAAATATGGCATGTTTATAATCGAATCGAGCGGCTCGACGAGACGAATCCAATGAGCCTAAGATCATTGAATTCTGATATCATTAGAGCCTTTAAATGCCTAATAAACGGTCCCTAATCAAGTGATTCAACATCGGTTGTCCATTCAAACCACTCCCAATTTGCCCTTGATCTTCCTCCTATTTACTGGTCATGCCACTCTCAGAAAACTATAAATAGCCCCTCATTTCTCTTAAGAGGGGGGCCCAAGCAAGAAGAGAAGAGAAGAAAGAAGAGAAGGAAGAAAACGAAGAAAATGAAGAAGAATCTCCTCGACCACCACCGGAGTTCCAACCAAAGTCTCAAGTGACGCTCGAAGTCCCGCCGATCTAAAAGTGATGATGGAATTATGTCACACTTCCAAGTGACGCTGGAATTCTACCCGATCTCCATGTGACGCCGAAATTCTGTCCGACCTCCAAGTGACTCTGGAATTCCGCCCAACCACCCAACATCGTCGGATCTCTGATTATTGTTTGTAACTGCATTTCAACCCAAGACTTGAATATTGTAATTTGATTGTCCTAAATTTTAGAGACAAATCAGTCATTTGTATTCCAATCAAACATTAGTGAAAACTTTTTAGCTGGGCAAGACCCCGTTGTTTTTCATCTTTCATGGGTTTTTCATGTAAAAACTTTGGTGTTTTATTTTTCTTATGTTTGTGTGTGCTGGATATCCATGCAACACTAAGATAAAAAATTTTACCTCTATCACCATGTATATTCTAGCCCGTAAAAATTATATTTTTAAGGATTTTTCCTTACCTTGTTTAGATATATATTCTTTTTGAGAGTCACATCTTTTCTTTTCTTTTTGTTAATATCTTCATGCCTGCAGCCTACGCAATCCAATAAAAAAATTGAATCTTATATCATGTCAACTTTCGGCAAATAAGTTTTTTTTTTTTTTTTTTAGTTCTTTCAAAAATTGCTGTGCCGATGTGACATTGAGTTCATTCTATTAAATACAACACAGGTAATATTTTACGGATAAAAAATGGGTAATATTCTGACTATAATTTAATCTGTATAAATGTTAAACCTTTTTATTATAAGGTAAATAAATTATACAAATTAATTAGTTATTTAAATGTTTTACTCTTCTTAAAATAAAATCAGTAATTTAAATTTATTATGATTAAATTTAATTAAAAAAGCTTATCCTAACTTTTCTCCATGGCCTTTACTCAGCTAATATAAATCCCCCATTAAAATGGAGATTTTGGATATTTTTTATTAAACAATGATATGAGGAAATAATTTTTTTTTATTTGATCAAATAAATTGTTGATATATAATAGTTGAATCGAAAGTAATTTTCATTTTTTATATTGATAAGAAATTAAGTGATTTTATTATTATTATTTATTTGAAAGAATAATCAACATATATATAAGAATGAAATATTACCCTAATTTATTGTTATTCTTTCTCCAATATTATCTCAGCTTTTTGACTCATTAAGCTCAAGTAAACAATCAAAAATAGAAATATATTTACCCAAAAAAGAAAAAAAAAATACATTTTTGTTATTTTTTTTAATTTTTTAAATTACATCAAATCAAACCATCAAGATGTAATTATGAGGTATCAACATAGTCAATGAAATCACATCGAACACATGTTTCATATGCACCACTGATGTTTAATTTGGACGGTGCTGATGTGTCATGAAAGGGGCGGCTGCTTTATTAGCATTCCCTTGGAAATAGATAACTTCAAAATATTTTTTTTATCCATCATTAATAATTTATAATGTTTAAAATTTTAAATTGATTTTTTAATTACTTTGAATTTAGTCAATCAAATTTATTGATGAAAACTATAAAATGAAAGATCAATGATTAAAAATAATTTATTTTTTAAAGCATTCGTCTAATTCTCTATCTCTATACGTACATTTTTTTTTATCTCTATATATATGATTACTCGTAAATTCATCAAAGTGAAGCATGAATCTCAGTTCAAATTTTGAATTAGAAACTATTGGAATCAAATTTTGGATCATGAGGTCATCCATACAGCTGCACTCAACCACTAACATGTCATGCAATTGCCACCCCCAACCAAAATTATCTTATTACTACCATCATGCCACTCCCACCCTATCACCCTTATTGATCTTTAGTTGTCCAACAATCATTATTGGGTTGCTACCCCTTGATTGTAAAATCCCTCCAGATTTCAAGATTTTTTGGTGCAGTTAGTATGTACTTACCGTCTGTAACATATAATGAGCTTAAAAAGCTCAGCAGATCACCAAAAACCTACAATAGAAATCAAAGCATGATACATAAGCAAGATGCATGTCAATAAGTCAAATCATAGCTGTCACTTACACATGATCATTGAGTCAATGCAGAATAGAAATCAATGCATAAACAATAATCAGTACAGAAACGGTAGTCAAGTTCAGGTTCGTACACGGTTCGTACAAACTAACTGCACCAAAAAATCTTGAAATCTGGAGGAATTTTATGTTGATCACCACATCAAATCATTGTCTAACCACCAACAATTCCTCAGGCACCATTATCACCAATGTTGATTCATATTATTGCCTATAAGGCTAATATACATCATTGACACAAATACTGATGTCCACTAACTTTATCACCCCTAATTATCATCAGCATTGACGCATGCAATTGCCAATTGGCTTATGCACACAATCAAAACAAACATCGACTCGTGTTGACTTTGTCGCTTGATCGTTTGCACCACCAGAGTTGATACATGCTTATTAGGTTGTACACCAATGTTGATGCCGTCGACTTTGTCGCCCATCCTCAACACTAACATTGATATATATATATATATATATATATATATATATATATAAGGATGATAGAATACATCAACATTAATACTAATGCTCATTGACTTTATTGCTCGCCATCATCAAAAATATAATGAACTCCATCACTTATAAGTAGATGCACACTGTCAACACCAATGTTGATGCCCCCCATCACTACCACATGAAGCAGCTATAATGCTGATGAACACTATTGACTCCAACATTGATGGCTCGTCGACTTGACTACCTATTATTGACACACCAACAACACAAACATCGATGCATGTCATCGCTTAGGGGTGTAAGTTAGACGAGCTTATCAATTTTCGAGCTTCTGATCGAGCAGAATTTTGAGTTCGTTGGATTATCAAGGTCGAGTTCGACTTAGATGATGCTTGGCTCAATTACTCATTGAGTTGCTCTATTAAATGCAAAAGACAGAAGGCAAACTGGTGGAAGGCGAAAGCCAAAAAAACTATGGAAGGCGCATCAGCGTGTGCGAACCACGAAAGATTGAAGTGTTGCGGTCTTTATCTGCAAGCTGCGAAAGATGGAAGCTCAGGAGAAAGATGAAGCTTGGGCGTCTGCGTGTGTGCAAGACGAATCACGGGCGTTTGACAGAAAATGGACTGGCAAATCGTAGACAGCTCATGAGCTTGTTTTCAGCGGCACGAGCTAGCTCAAGCTCGACTCGAGGTCAACTTAACAATTTAACTGTGTGTGTGTGTGTGTGTGTGTAATAAAGATGCATGTGATTAATTTTTCTTTTAAAATTATGCATATTATACTGTTATTTTGAATGAAATAAGATGTGCAAAATATGTTGTTTAATAATTTTTTGCATAGGAAATTATTTCAAACGACATTTAACTTGCTATTCATTCTCTTATATGAATTAAAATTAAAATTAATTATGATTACTTCATCTTTGTTAATCATCTTATCAAAATATTTAATTTCATAGCATAAATTAATAAATATTCTTTAGATAATTCTACAAAATCACTAGGAAAATGATGTTTTAACTTGAGGTCATCTTAGTTGTAGCTATATAAAAAGAACTAATTAAAACTAAATGGATAGGGGAAAGAGCTCTCAATTTTTTTGTCATTGAGCTCTTCTTTGATAGTAAATTAGTGTCCCACTATATTTAACATTATCGTGGGAACTAACACTTAAATTTATTTTAAGCTAGAGAGCATAACAAGTTGGAGAAAGCAAGTTGACCTAAAGAAGTAATATAACACAAAGAAGGACCCATCAAAAGCATTTTGTCCTTTTGAAAGTAGTGGTGAGTCCTCAATTCATGATAGATCACTAGTGATGAAAATCTCAAGAAGAAATTTCAAGCTAGTACTTATTCGCCACTGCTTGTAGTAATGATTTGTTCTGTCACTTAACCTCCTTTGCAAAAATATAGTAACCCTTAAGTTTCATTGTTATTAATTTGTTATTTTATCTATCTCTTATTATTTTATTCTCATCTCAACCATAAGGAACTATTTTGCCTTTCCCTTGACTAGAAGAAGCTCTGAAATATATTCTTTTGGTGCCAATTTCAAATTCGTAGCCATTTGTGCCTTCTTTGGCATAGGAGATGCAAATCAATAATCTTTTGATGTATGTTTCATGGAGGACTTATTTTGAAAGACCTATAGATAATTATGAGCATCACCAATAGCTCAAAGGACATATTGAGAACGAAGCTGCATAGAAAGCAAAAGACACACTTGATGAAAGTTAGTAATAAGAAGTTATCACTTGAAAGGATGATACAAATGGCCTCTTTCTTTCTTTGTAAGGTTAATGTTTTGTTTGAGTGAAATAAATAAAAGGACGTAAACATATTAATGCAATATAGGCAGGGGCGGAACCAGCCTAAATTCTCAGGGGGGGCAAAATTATAAAAATATAACAAATAAATTTATAACAAAATTTAAATAAGTTCTTATATTGCAATAAAAATTACAAGCTTTGCATTCTATTTTGCATCTTCTGGTAATGTTGCGTTACAACTTCATTTGGAACCAAATCAAATACTTCTTTCTCAATATATGACACTTGCCTATAAACCTTTCAACAACTTGACCTAAACTATCCACATATCTCACAGCAACAGCTAGTTGTTCCTTTGTTGAAACATCACGAGATTCATCAACCAAAATGGCATAGTAGGAGTCTCCAATATCTTTCATGATTGATATCAAAGTTTCTGCAGCTGCAGCTGAACAAATTTCTTTCTGAACCTTTGGCGAAGATAACTTCAAATTTGAGGTTGAATGTGTGGATAAAACATTCTTAATGTCATCATTATGATTACCAAGGAAATAAAATAGCTCCAAATAATTTCCTCGATTCTCAGATCCGGATGACTCATCATGCCCACGAAATGATAACCCCTGCCGTAACAGAAATCGAACACAATCAACTGCACCTGTCAACAAAACCCTATAATCTTTTTTATTTCTTTCATCTTTGCTCAACCATAGAACAGGAAGACTTTTTTCTTGAGTCTTCATCAGATCTTCACATTTGTGTCTTGCATTATTATGTGCACTATTATGATCGCCAACATGACTTAACAGTTTTTCCTTCTTCTTCCAATTTTTGAACCCTTCTCCTATAAATGAGTCTCCCCCACCTTGTCCTGTAATAGTTTTATCTTGAGGTTTGAACAAGTAACAATACAAACAAAAAGCAGCATCTTTCTGTACACTGTATTCTAACCAATCAGGATAGTCCTCAAACCATTTTGGATTAAATCTGCGTGCAACATTGCCAAATACTGTTTGAGGAAATTGATGACTTTTCGGTTGATGGGGTCCCTTCAACAGATATGCTCTCCGAATTTTATCTCTCTCATTTAAATCGTAACACCAAATTGAAGGACGATTTCCAGGATCAGCTGGGAGATTGTTAAAATCAGTCTCCAAACGTTCTTTCCTCTTTAAATAACGTTCCATTTGATATATCCTATCAAAAATGATTTTCTTATATTAAAAGTTAGTTATGTACATGAAACTCTATAAAAAATAATTAGTACATTCTATCTATTGATTTTCCACATTCTAAAAAAGCTTTAAAAATTTTCAACCACACTCCTCTTTATAAATTAGCTTATAGTTTTTCTCTTTCAATATTTTTCTTGTAAAAAATCTAATTTCTACTAAAACTACTATATTTATCAATTAAATATTAGTACAGAATTTCTCGGAGAAGGATAAATGCTCATTTGCTTGGACTTCAATACCTCTTCTCAGTTCTCAGTTTTCATCATATTTCTTTGTCTCATTGCCTGTATATTGGATCTTAAATGAGTCGTGGCGGTGGAGCTAAGAAGAGAATACTAGAATAGGATCGTTCTGACTTCTGAGGATAGATGCGAATAGAGATCGCCGGAACTCGTCGCCAAAAAGAGATCGTAGAAATTGGTTGAGGATAGATGAGAATAGGATTGTTCTGAAAATGTTATTTAATTTTTTTTTAAGCTTTAAAAATAATCAAAACACAGTGAAACTCAGGCATAAAAAAAAAACAGCGACACAGCGAAATTTTCTAGCGGGAACTGGGAAGCAAGACCGAACAACCCTATTACTTCAGGCATTAAAATCAAAACAGAGAACATTGCAAGTAAAAAAAAAAAAAATAGCAAAATGTTGAGATGACAGAGGCGGGAAGAAGAAACCAAAAAAACCTGGGAGAAAGGCCACCGTCGGCGTTCGTAGGCGATCTCTCGAGTCTCGGTTCTTGCACGCAGCTCGTCGTCGAAGGGGGTCGCTCTGCTCCTGCTCGCAGCTCGCCGTCGAAGCCTCGAAGACAATCTCTTGGCAGTTGGCTCTCGCTCGCAGCTCGCGCCTCGCAATGTCGCAGAGAAGAGAAGCGCTCGGGATGAATGGAGAATGGAGAGAACGACCGATTCGGCTATTCATTAGGGCAAAATAAATATTTGAGGGGGGGCAAAATTACAAAAATGGCCCTCCTCTAAACTTTTTTTTTTTTTTCAGGGGGGGCAATTGCCCCCCCTCACCGCTCAATGGTTCCGCCCCTGAATATAGGAGATCATTAAAAATTTTTACTTATATATATCTTGCCTAAAATTGCAAAATGAACCTATTTTAATTTAAGCACTACAAGTTCTTATATTAATATAGAAGTAATATCAAATCATATGACATTATTTCACAAACAAATACAAAATTGCTCTGCCTCTACCGGCTCCACCAATCAGTTATCGAAGCGTGTAAGGTCGGATATCGCCTCGTAATTGCTTCGCGATTAAGCTAAACACGTCTAAGGAAATTTATTTTAAGAAACCAGAAGGCCACCCTTTGTGCACCTACACAAAACAATCCACAGCTCGACACGTCAACCAATGTGTCCATCAGCGGGCTCCATATCAACCCACCCCGTCCGCCTTAAATACCCGTCGACCCCTCCTCCTTCCTTCCCTTTTCTCCCTCCGCTCTCTGTAATCTTATATCTTTCTTAAATTCCTAATTACATTTTAGGCCCTTAAAATTTTGCACTTTTAGATTTCTGCTCACTCGAATCCGTCCGGTCGAGCTGATGTCCGTGTCGCAGGAGTTCCTCGCGGCCCTTGAGGGATGGGAAGCTCGGCCGCCGGCGGAAACGGTCCGGTCTGGACCGGTGACGTCTGCCGAGGAGGAACGGCGGCTGAAGCGTATGATATCGAACCGGGAGTCCGCCCGGCGGTCGAGGATGCGAAAGCAACGCCAACTCGAGGGCCTGCGGAACCAGCTGAGCCGGCTCAAGTCAGAGAATCGAGATTTATCGAAGAGGATGGGGACCGTTGTCCACTACTGCCAACTTTTTCGGCTTGACAACGATCGCCTCCGGTCCGAGTCGGACCTACTCCGCCGACGGCTTGCCAAAATCCACCGCATCCTCTTTTACCGGCAGCTCCAAAGGCTGGTTTCACCGACCTCTGCCGCCTTATGCGGCGGCTTCCTCTCCGGCGCTGGCGGGGAACCAAACTATTCATCTCTAATCGTATAAGAGTTATAAACAAGAAGCTAAATCATAATTAATTAAAAAGACAGGGGGCAAAGAGAGAGAACTTTTCTTTATATTCCTCTTTGCCTGTAAATTTAAAAAGGAGGAGGACGTAATATATAATCGTACCTTTTCCGGGATGGACAACAAGACAAGTCGGGGGATTTTATAAGAACGGCAGCATCGGTTTATTTTTGTGCTGCAATTTTGGGATCATGAAAGTGGTCCGTATGTAAATAAATAAATGTTTGCAAGTGTTCCGTAAATTAGTATTACAATCGAATTGAAAAATTGTCACGTTTGGTTTAATGGTCTGACAATTAAAATTCTCATATAACTGCTAAATTGTAAAATTAATTTTAAATTTTTATGGATTGTAATGTTTGGTGAATAAATAAATATCACTATTAAGAAAAAAAATGAAAATAGATTATCTAAGAATATTTTGATATTATTTGCATCAAATTGGACTGATTTTTATGCTCTTATCTTTAATTTTACTAAGATTATTTATGCGTCATGTAAAATCACTGTGATCAACTACAAATCTTGATACATTCTAGTAGATAAGTTTCAAAATTAAATGTGAGATCATTCGAACTCTAATTTCAATAAATTTAGTCAAATTGAACGACTTAGTGAGATGAACTAAACAACACAAAAATCAGCCAATATGAGCTAAAATATGGAATTGAATCATATTTGGAAGTTTTAGTGCATTAATTGGATGACCCAATGATATCCAAATATAGCATGCTCAAAGTCAAATCAAGTGACTTGATCAGACGAATCCAATAAGCCAAAGATAGCTTAATTATGACGTCATTAAGGTACTTAAATACTGAATAAGCATTTCATGATTGAGAAAATCATTGTGAGTCGTTCGATGGAGCACTCCAAATTTATCTTGGATCTTCTCCATATTTATAGAGCATGACACTATTAGAATCTATAAAAAGACAACAACTTCTCAACTACGATCTCTCTGACCTTTGTTGCCCGCTGACAATGGTCCATTCTATCATCGTCGCCCACCTACTACAGTCTCTCCGACCACCGTAGTCACCGTCGTCTGCCGACTACGATCTCTCCGACTACTGTCCCTTCTATCTCTATGATCCTTCCGATCTAAATTGCTTGTTGACTATGGTCCTTCCAACTAGCATCACCTGTCGACTATGATCTCTCTGAGTACCATCATTAGCTGACTATGGTTTCTCTGACCTCTGTCACCAGAAAATTGTCCCCTAGATCTAAGTTGTCCAACTATAGTCCCTTCAACCTTCGTCGCCTGACTATAATCCCTGCAACCTCCGTCACCTGCCGACTATGATTCCTCTAACTATCATCGCCCGAATATAGTCCTATCTACCAAATGAATAGCCAACATCCTTTTGAGAATATCTCTCATGTCGTTTGATTCCTCCAACTCTAAACAAGTAATGCTTGACTACTATCCTTCCGACCTCAGTCCAACTATGCAATGTGCTTTATATGATGTATATTGAGCAAACACCTTCCCCCGAGGTAGGGCATCATTTGTAATTAACAACAAATACTAGTGGATTCATTCCAACTAGGTAATGTCTCATGATTTTCCCCATTTAAAGGGTTTTAATGTAAAAATTTTGGTGTCACTTATGACTCTTGAACGCTTCTCTTTTATATGTATGCATGCTAAATCTTCATACAAAGTTACGATGTTAAACACTCAATCTCTCTACCACCACGAATGTTCCAACACATAACGAAATCCGTTAAAAAATAAAATAAAATTAGTAACTTACAACTATATAGAGAAATCTTCATAGTAAACCTGCATAGGCACACAAAAATGGAATTAACCATAATCAATTTTCTATTAAAGTGGATCATATTTGATAAATTTTTAGCAAACAATTTTATTTATATTAAAATTTTGATTTGATATTAATTCTTATTACACCTTCTATGCAACTTCTCTAAAGGAAGTAAGATAATTCTAATTCTACGGAGATTCAACCTCATTTTGTGTTATTTGGATTTTCTTAACCTTCGTGTGACCAATCATCATATATTTGCCCCTTTATTCATTCTTTCAAATAGAGAGAGAATAAGAGGATCTACATATGATATTTATTGATTTATAGAAAGCATATGATGATAAAGTTCCAAGAGAATTGCTATGGAGAGTTCTTGAAAAGAAAGAAGTAAATAATGCTTATATTCAAATCATTAAAGATATGCATGCATGAGCTATTACTTGTGCTCAAACACTAGGTGGTTTGACCAAGAATTTTCCTATTTCGGTTGGATTGCATCAAGGATCAGCCTTAAGCTTTAGTCATGGATGTTCTTTTTGCTTAGGGTTTAGGGTGTACATCGGTGTATGCTTTTTGTTGATGATATTCTCCTTGGTAATAAGACTAGAGAGGGAGATGAAGATAAACTTGAATTATGGAGGTCATCTTAGAGCCTAAAGGTTTTCACTTGAGTAGATCTAAAACTAAATATATAAAGTGTATTTTTAATAATAATAGACGTAGTGAGGGGATTGTGACTTTAGGTAATCAAGTCATTAATAAGAGTACACATTTTAGATATCTTGAATCTATTGTTCATAGTGATGGTGAAATAAATAGGGATATTATCAGTAAAATTTAAGTTGGATGGTTGAAGTGGAGGAATGCATCGGGTTTTTTGTATGATAGAAAAATCCCCCTCAAACTTAAGAGAAAATTCTATAAGATGGCGGTGAGACCTGTAATGCTTTATGGTCCCCAATGTTGGCCATTAAAAGAGAAGCATAATACTAAGTTAAGTGTTGTAGAGATGCGTATGCTCATGTGGATGAGTGGCTTTACCCTTAGAGATAGGATACGATATGAGCATATTCGTGAAAAGGTTGGAGTAGCTCCAATGGAAGATAAGATTAAAGAGAGTCGCCTTAGATGGTTTGGTCACATAAAATGGCGGCCTTCCGATGACCCAGTTAGGAAAATAGAGGTATTAGATGTGGCTTATGTTAATAAAGGTAGAGCTAGACCTAAAAAGAATTGGTTGGAAAATATTAGAAATGATATTTTTTTATTATATTTAAACAAAAAAATTGACTTTTAAGAGGACACAATGGAGAAATATGATTCATGTAGCCGACCCCAAGTAGTGGGACAAAGGATTGATGTTGTTGTTGTTGTTGTATTTCTTTCAAAAGTTATTATTATTTTGCTTTATCCACACTTATTTTTAAATAATAATAATAATAATAATAATAATTAATATTCTTAAAAATTTCACTTAATGGATATGAAGATTGTTCTCACTCTTATTTTAGCAAACATATAATATAATTGAACATATAAATAAGATGAAACCAATGACACTAAAGACAATCTGACTTAAGTCTAAATGAACCAAAATCAAGCACTTGAAGCACATTTGAAAATTTGAAGATATTAATTGAAGGACATATAGGCTCTAAATATTGCATACTTTTAGTCAAATCGAGCGGCTTGATAAGACAAAAGTAAGTTATATTTTAAGAGGTATGATTAGCCCGGCCAACACATGTTTTGTTGTCCTTAATTAATAGCGGAGGTGTTATCCTTTATGTAAATGTAAGAGTTGGTTATTAGTATGGAGGGTGTTATTAATTACTAGTTATATAATTTGGTTTCAATCAAGTACACGCCCACTAGCAAGAGATAAGAAGATCTGATCTACTAATTAAGCAAGGAAGTAAAATAATTATGATATACAAAATTAGAGCACATGCATGCTAGGTAGAGAGAAATTTTTTATAAATAATACTTGTAGAAAATCGATCTTTTTAGTTCTATCTCATTTCATGCTCAATAACACCTTGATTTCTAATCTACCTACTACCTTGGTATTGTTGTAATATTTTAAGATAGATGCAAATTAAGAGTATATATATAGTTAATTCGTGTCATGCATCTAAATTTTCCCCCCTCATTTCTTAATTTACATTCTTTGTAACATGAAATTTATTTTGGCTGCTACCCTCATTTATTTGATAAATTTGGGCATTATATAAATATATGAGCAAGTGGGCAGTGCAAGTGAGTGCTAATTAAACTATTACCCTGCCCCTAACTGCTCTCTAATTATATTAATCTTTATTTTAATGGAGATTAGCTGTTGATAATGACATAAAATATCTTATATGCAGGTAAGAGTTTGTTTTTATTGAAAATTGCGCTCCCACTCATAAATATTATTGAATGTTGTGTTGCTATCAAATGCAATAATGCCTTTGAAATTTTTGTATAACACTACATATTTTATTCGGGATGATTTATACTCTAAATAATTTGATATTTATATAGTTTAGATGACTTTATTCAATATAATTATTGCATTGATATTGTTCATGCTTTTATAAATTGAGTTATATCTAACAATTTTATCAATTATTTATATATATAATATAACCCCCTCAATCCTCATAAAAAATATGAATTAACTATCATGTAGGTAACTCAACATATGAGCTTTGAAATCATAGAAAATATTTTTCATATAAATAAAAATTATGTTTAAAAAAAAATTAATTAAAAGTAGAGTGATACAAGATGTCCTTGAGGTAGCTAGGCCAGCAAGATGCCACTGAAAGAGATTTTTTTAAAAGAAAAAGGAAATGCATTAAAGAGTAAGAACAATACAAAGCAAGATCAAAAAATGTTCACATAGATGAAAATTATATCAAGAGGAAAACAATAAATGATCGGGCTAACAGGACTCAGACCACCCCTAGTGAAGTAGTTTGTATGGTCATAGATAAAAAAAAAAATGATAAACCAAAATAGGGTAGATAGATGGGAGCTAATTCATGTGAAGGAGGATCATATTTGAGGAAGACATAAAAGGCTTTAGTGGTGATATTGGAGGGCTTCGACTAATAGCGCCCTTTTAATGAAATTTTAATATCCACATCTCATTTTCAAAATTTGATGATAAATACATTGAAATAAAAAATATTTAGTCTTGCCAATAGATTCACTCATTCAAACATGTCTCCAACGAGGTGCCATCGAAAAATCAGTATCCCGCCGTCAACAACTGACAATAGAATGATAGGAAAGATTTATGATAATGTCGCAATCATATCCTTTTGATGGCGATAATTTTGAGTTTTATGCAAAAAAAAAAAAAAATCAATAAGAAACTATTCTTAGAGACAATGATTCCTCTCATAGATTGATCTAATAAAAATTCTTAAAGGCAACGATTCCTCTCATAGATTGATCTAATAAAACATATGCATTATTTTTGAAAAGAAAAGTATACAACTTTTT